GACAAGACGTAGAGCTAAAACAGTAAATAACAAAGACGAAAAAAGAAAAGAGATGCACATGTTTTAATGAGAGGCCATTACACAACACCAACTGTCAAACCCCAGTTCCCGATAAAATCTGAAACTAGTGTTTGACATTTTGCTTTCATCTGCATCCTCATCTTTTCCCTTTTGTCCTTTTTTTAACAATTTTTCTAAAAACTGCTATTATTATATTATTTTTCTTACAAAGTTTTGGACCTGTTTGACTGACAATTTTTAGACTTTTGTACGTCAAACACTATCCCCATGGCCAATTTTAATAATCGCATGGCTTGGCATGGCAGTGAACCCAAGAAGAAACCATCCACGCTTTTTACGATCTTTTTTTATTATTACCCTTTTTCACTTCAAATTAATTTATTATTAATTCTCTTCGCAACACAAACACACGGCTCAATATGAAAGTTTCTCAGCGTAAAAAGCTGAATGTCTTTCTCCAAGTTCATATTCGAAAGGTCTTTTCTGCCCTTTTAGACTAATTTGGCTAATAACGGAAAAAAAAAAAAAAAAAACTAATTTGGCTAATTTTTGAGTAATCTTTCAAATATCATGTATTATGTAAAAATGTTTTTTTATTTTATCTTTATTAACATACTCTTTATGTTCAAATTAAATGATATCAAAGATTTTCCCAAAATTCTTCAATTAAGAAAGTATATAAACTTTTTTTTAATATTAGAACACCATTTCTTTTCCAAAAAAAAATTCAACCAATAACATCAAACTCTAAATAAAAGAAATGCTCAAAAGAATAAAACGTTTGCAAATCACAAACGTAGTTAACATATCTAGCATATAATAATTCTAACATTTCATAGCCCAAAGAAAGTACTCCAGACACAAGTCCTAGACCAAATGCAAATTGTTTGGCAAAAAAACACCCTTAAAGCCCATGGAAAGGTCTCTTGTTGGCTAAGGCCCATTAAGGCCCATGGAAAGGTTTCTGATAAACAAAGTCCTCTTCCTCTATACCTTATCCATTCGACTCCCGCAAAATCGCCTTTGTTGCAGAGAATTACACTCTAATGGCGATTCCAATATCCATGGCAATGGCGACTCCTACAGATTCCGTGAGCAGAGTTTGGAGTATGTCTTCTCTCAAATCAGCTCTTCCCTCCGCCGCATCACTCCGATTACCGTCATCGTCTTCTCGCCGTCCGGTCACTCTCCGCCTCCCAATCTCTTCTCCTTCACTCCCATCTTTCTCTGGTCTCTCACCGGTCAATCCTCTCCTCTCAATTGGACTTCCAGGTAAATTTCAACTTTTCACAGAAACATAATCGTTTCAATTTTGGCTCAATTTGAATCTCCAAAATCGTTAGGGTTTTTGAATATTGAACGCAGATTGGCAGAGCTTTGAGAATGGGTTCAAAATTGTTGACGGTGGTGGTCGTATCTACGCGATGAGACACGGAAGACGAGTTCCGAAGCTGAATAGACCACCGGACCAGCGCAAAGCTCTATTGCGAGGACTCACGACTCAGCTTCTTAAGCATGGGAGAATCAAGACGACTCGAGCTAGAGCTAGTGCGATGAGGAAGTTCGTTGACAAGATGATTACATTGGCTAAAGACGGTTCGTTGCATAAGCGAAGACAAGCATTGGGATATATCTACGAGAAGCAGATTGTTCACGCTCTGTTTGCAGAGGTTCCTGATAGGTATGGTGAGCGAAACGGTGGATATACGAGGATCATCAGAACTCTTCCAAGGAGAGGTGATAATGCTCCAATGGCTTACATTGAGCTTCTCTAAGGTCAATTTCTCTGTTTCTTTAATTGCTAAATTGTTCGACTTTTGCTCTGTAATATCTATCTAAAAACAGTTGTTGATGCAGATATGAGATCATTTTGTTTTGTTATTGAGAATTCGACTTGTTAAAAATGCTTTCTTTGGAGTTGAAACGATGAGGAAATAGATGGATGTTTTAGTGTTTTTTTTTCTGGTTAAGAGAATGAAAAATACTCTTTATTAGTGTATGAAATAAAAATATGTCCTTTTGCCTAAATATTATCTAGATGATACTCAATTCTCAGCTTAGTGCTGATATCACATTCTTGGTTCTGAACTTTCACGGAAGGGAGGTCAAGAGTGATTTTACAATCCGATATAGCAACTTAGTGTCGACAAGGTAGAATGGAAGAACCTTTAGCCGGCAATGTAATAGCCGAGGGAAGATCAACCAACATCTCCAACTTGCTTCTCCATGTATACAACTAATGTCTTCCCTATCTCGTGCTTGAAACTCAGACGGTTGCGATTCACGACCAGAATATGGAGACTAATAAGTGTGGAATGGAACATCAAATGGTAAGGATATACGATGCCTTGTAAGGTGACTCATGGCTGATTAGGTCTGCGTTATTGGTTTTTTCGGTTTGTAAACCTCGAATACCAAGAGTAAGGCAATGACAAAGGTGATGATTAGAATGGTTAAGATGATACAGGAAGCTGTGCAGCAATCGCACCGTCTGGATTTACGCATACGCTTGGTCATGATCCACAACTAAAATGTATATGTGTGAATGGTTTTGTTTTGTACATTTGGAGAGCTTGAAGCCACACTTATAGAAGAAATATAGATTAAAGTAGTGAAGAAATGTTTTAAATGCGATTTGAGCTGCCAACTAATTCCTTACAATCTGCCTACATTATGTGACAGTCATTAAAAAATCTCAATCTGATTTGATTCTTTATCTGACTTTTTTTACACTTAAAAAAGGTTGGAAAAAATATCCACCATGTATACGTTGTTGACACATTGACTAACACGTTTTACTAATTTTGTTGAATCAATTATGAGATCTTAACAAAGACTAGAATTTAACCCGCGGTACACCGCGGGGCTATATTTGTTTTTAAGAATTTTTTATTTTTGAAGATTAACTGAAGATATAACATATTAATTTGTATTTTTAAATGTAATAAATATCTATGTATTATTTAGTGTATGATTAATATTTTTAGGTTTAATTTAAAGTATAGGTACGAAAACATACAATTCATTAAGTAACGATGTATGGCGGATTTAAAAAATTTGAAATGTTTGGTTGTTTTGGGATTTTAATATGAAAATATTTAAAGTATGTAGGAAATGTTATGTATGTGAATAAAGGATTATTTGGCTTTGTTTTGTTTTGTTCTAGTATATATAAAGAGAAGAAGACCATTTCCGCGGGACGATTTGATTTCTAAAATTTGTGACTTTTTAAATTTTATGAATATGTATTATATATAAAAGTTTGCAACTTGTTTCATTTTTGAGACATTTATATTTTATAATTTATAATTTTCATTAAGTAACGGTATACCGTGAGATAATTTTTTGTTTTATATAATTTTTAACTAAATCACGCTGATTCGATATGTCTAATATGGGTGATGTTAAAAAAGAAAATTTAATCTGTACTGAAGCAACGGGTTAATGATATTATTGATTCAAACCCGTCCCGCCATATAATCTTGTTCTTCAATATAATTTGTCCCGTGTTATTTTAATTTTTTATATGTTCAAATATTCATAATATTATAATTTTTATTCATTTGAATATATCAATTCTAATATTTTAAAAAAATGAAAAGTTTAAAACTTACACTCTTTCTATATTTTTAATTTAAAATTGACACTCTTTATATATGCACTTCTAAAATATTCTATGCATTTCAAGTTATTAATAAAAAATTAAAAAATTTGAAATCAATTAAAAAACAAATCTTTGTTAATAGGAAACCAGAACCTTTATTAATAGGAAACTGGAATCTTTAAAAAAAAAATGAAAACCAAATAAATTGACATCTCATTATTACTGATATTTCAGATGTAAATCAATTAAAGAGTTAGAATAAATATCTATATATATTTTAAACAGGGATAATTTCTTTTAGAAAAGATAATATAACTTTCCATGTTTTGCTTTTGGCGAGGCGAATTAAACACACCACCACCTCATCGCCAGCATTCTGAGAGGCATTCCAAAGGGATTCAACAAATATCTCTTATAGAGTATATGGTAAACGTTAACCACTACTATATAAAATGCTTATTAATATAAAATATCAAAACACGTAAAAGATAAAAAAAAAAAAAAAAAAAAAAAAAGGAAGAAAATAATTGGTAGCAGATTTTTTGAAACAAATATGATGTCCTAAGCAATCTTGCTAACCCGAAATCTGATAAATAAGCGTTGCATTCATCATCTAGGAGGATGTTGCTTGGTTTAACATGGTGAAGCATCCGTGGGACACATCTGAATTTAGTAGCACTATCATAAATATCAAATTTTATTTTATATGTATTTGCAATTATAAAAAAAAAAACAAAAAAAGAGAAGGAGAACGTACATACCATCGTGACAGTAGTTCTCCCAAACTTGTCTTTATTTATAAGGAGAGGGAGTGTGTCAAGCAATTTAGGTTTAACAAAAAAAATATAGAAAACATAAATGATATTGCCATTTAGTATCTTAACAAATTAATTATTTATTTTTATCTTAACGATTTTGGTATTACAAAAATATTTAAGGAAATTAAACAATGTTGCGTTTGGAAATATTTAGCATTAATTCGAATATTTGAGATTTTAAAACAGAAAACGGAAAAAGGGGTGAAGACTTTTCAATTAGGATATTTCAGCATTAATGTTATTCGTATTAGCATATCTGTATTAAAAATCAGTATCTTACTCAAATATATTATTAAGGGTTTTCGAAATTTAAGGAAAGTAGGATATGTAGGATTTAAAATTTTTTGATATTGCCATAATCGTTTTGTTTAAAGATTATAACAAATCTCGTTTATTTATTTTTTATGACAGAATTAATTCAAGATCCGATTGCAAAAAATCCGGGTCAAAATAATGAATTAACCCGACCCACCAATGGCATAAGTTGTAAATACTTCTCAACTTCAGGATTTATTTGCTAATTGTGATCCAAAAATGTATATATAAGATTTTTAACATGAAAAAAAATCAAAAGCAAATCTCTATTGATTTAATTTAAACATACGTAGAGATAAATACAAACCAATTAAAATACCAAAAACAAAACAAGAAGACAAAGTGTTGTACTAGAATCTATAACTTATGCGATTCGCGATCTGCTTATAACTTAGTCGAATACTTACAGTGTTGACTCGTAACATTACGATCCGAAACAGAGATGGTTAGATCACACGAAGAAGACGATTGGACTTTAATCTTAAAGACTTTAAGAACAGTTACTTTACCAGAGACCTTAACAAAAGTGTTAAGCGGAATGACGCCAGCCATGACGTCAGATAAAAGCTGCGATTCAGAGAGTAACCGATCCGCCATTAGCGTCAACGTTAAATTCATCGGCTCCGTTTGCCGCGCCGCGATTCGGTTCGCCGGAAGAGGAGCTTCACCGATCAATTGGCCTCTGTAATTCAACAACGCCGAAGACGAATCGTAGCTAAACCCGACGCGGTTAGGGTTTTTCAGAGAGAGATCGACGTTGAGCGTTAGGTTTAGGATGACTTTGAGAAGGAGAGGATTGACGGAAGCTCGGAGACGATCAACGGTTACGGAATCAATGGTTGTGACTGGGCGTTTTGGTTTGAAGAGAGTGAAAGCTAAGATGAGGATAACTACAAAGATGAGGAGAAGCAAGAGGATAGTGAAACAGATACAGATTTTGCAGTTGCGTTTCCGTCGCACTTTTTTACCGCTTCCGCCGTTTGCAGATTGCGTTTCCATGGAAGAAGCGTTTGGTTTGGGTGCGGGTGCTAACATGGCTGTTGCTGGCTTCTCCTCCTTTTTATCATCGGATTTGATTGAAAAACCATTCATACTCTCTTTGTTACGCTTTGTGGTTCTCTCGCTCTTGAGTTTCTCAGGGGTTTTGTTTTCCTAAAGAATAATACTACTATTTGTACACGGATTCGTTACCAAATTTTAATGACATGACTCCTTAAATAGTGAAATAGTAACACATTTCATTTTTAAATAATTTGTTTTCTACATTAGATATTTCTTAATTTTCCACGAGTATTTAGTAAAACCGGTATTTTTTGTCCGTCTAAATTATTTTTTTAAACAACTCCAAAATTCTAGTATTTGTTGTACCATTCTAATAAATTTATAAAACAACTATTTTAAAAAAAAATTAGACATACAAAATCGTCAACCTCATTTATTGCCATTAAACCAGCGTAAGACCGTTTACAACTCCACATATCAAGTTCGTCGAACAACGTATAGACAACTCTTCATAAAAAATGGTTGTTGGTTGAATTTTATTAAATTTTGTATTAATTGACCATTTTTATAATGTTTCGAAGACGTGCATTAATTAGTTCAGCTATAGGTGGAAGAAGGGAGATGATGATAAAATAATAAAGTGAGGTTAGGGGTAGAAATCAATAAATCACATGGCTTTTGTAAGAGACCATGCTTGATGATGATGCATCATCCATCGCTTTTGCCTAATTTCGTGTGGTTTTATTACGTAACATATTGAACGACTAAATCACCGTCTTTTTCTGGGCCCATTTCTTCGTTTCCACGGGACGACTTATGGGGTTTGGCCCGTTTAATCTGTCTCGCTTATTAAATTCATCATGCATGCATCTCCATTTGTTTTTTTTTTTTTTGGTAATCTGAGAGAGACAATGTCTCCCAACTTTATTAATGAAATGAAAACAAATTACATACTAAACTGCCGTGAGGTCGTTGCCCCACTAGCGTCAGCGGCCAAGATTGAACAAACACAATCCGGCATAGAAACAAAAGAATGGAAACCTAAAGGAAGAGAAAACGCATAGTTCGCCAAACCGTCAGCAAGCCGGTTTGCCTCTCTATACACGTGAGAAATACGGACAATCCAGTCCTTCGAAATGAAGCCATAGCACAAGCGTACCAGGAAAGACAAAGGGTGTGAGTCACTAACCCCCGTCTTGAGAAAGCCGACAACCAACTCAGAATCGACTTCCAGTTCCACCCTCGTTGCTCTCCTCTCCCAAGCAAGATACAACCCATAATATACTCCCCACAGTTCCGCTAAGGGCGCAGAGCAAATCCCAATCTTAACCGCAAAACCTCCACACCAGTTGCCTTCACCATCCCGTATAACACCTCCCGCTGTTGCTAGCCCGGGATTCCCGTGAGAGGCCCCATCTGTATTCACTTTCACCCACCCCTCCTCCGGTTTCCGCCAAGCTATTTCCCTCATAAACCTGCCACCATTTTGCTTCTTCTCGCCGAGAAGCAAAAAAGAGTCAACCACCTCCTTAGATATCTCTTTCACAAACCGTACCCGATCTCTACACTTCCCATTAGTCCCAAAAACATTTCCACACCTCCATTTCCAACCCCACCAACAAGCCATAGCAAATCTGGTAGACCATGGGCAATGCTCCACTACCTTCTCATCCCCCAAGTTTCCATTTGTTTTATTAAATTCAAATTATTTTTTAAAAGTTTCTAAAAATTATTAGAAATTTTTTGAAAGTCAACGATAGTTTTTCACCAAAACTTAGTTTTCAAACAAAATTTGTTTCCAAGAGCAAATTAATCAATAGTCATAGTAAGGTTTACTGGGCCATCCATCACAGCCCATACAAGTTTAATTTCTTTCAACACCTTAAACGCTGCGTTCTTTAGTAATATTCAATGTTTATTTTATTTTTCCTCGATCTATGCAAAAATAATTCGGATTGGTTCGGCTGGTTCGTGCTCGAAATTGAGAGATTTTGAAAGAAAGAAAGAGCTTTGAAACAATGAATCAGCCAAATTTCCAATCTGAATCTGCAAAAAACTCTTACGTCACTCTCCCATGTAGTAGCCGTCACTTCTCGTCTTCCTCTTAGAGATTACCCAAACTCTCTCGCTTCTTCTTCTTCTTCTTCTTTAGGGTTTCCTCATCCTTTAGGGTTTCAAGCAAATCCACAACCTGCTTTAAATATTGGGGCTTAAAAGGAGGAAGAAGTAGATGGAAGGAAGAAGGATTACGGCAAGCCCTAGACCTTGTAGTGGAAGAAGAGTTGTGGCTAAAAAAAGGTCTAGACCCGATGGATTCGTCAACAGTGTTAAAAAGCTTCAACGAAGAGAAATCTCATCTCGTAAAGATCGAGCTTTCTCTATTAGCACCGCCCAGGAGCGATTTCGTAACATGCGTCTCGTGGTATGTTCTGAATTTTCAATCTTTTGAATTTGCCCTAATTTTCAATCCTTCTCAAACCCTAGAAATTGCTCGTCTGCTCATAGTTTACTCAAATTCTCTTAATTGGGATTTGATTTCAGGAGCAATATGATACTCACGACCCAAAGGGACACTGTTTAGTTGCATTACCGTTTTTGATGAAAAGAACTAAAGTTATCGAGATTGTTGCTGCAAGGGACATTGTTTTTGCGCTTGCTCATTCTGGTGTTTGTGCAGCTTTTAGTAGAGGTAATTAGTGTAATTTGATTACTTTTAATCTCAGCTTTGTGTCTATGTGACTGAGAGTATGCTTTACCTTAAAATTGCAGAGTCGAACAAAAGAATATGCTTTTTAAATGTTAGTCCAGATGAAGTCATCAGGAGCTTGTTCTACAACAAGAACAATGATTCTCTCATCACAGTTTCTGTTTATGCTTCAGACAATTTCAGCTCTTTGAAATGCAGATCCACTAGAATTGAGTATGTTGTTTACCATATCGGTTTCATATCTAGTGTCTATTTTTCTGGTGCGTCATTCAAACTAATGTGTTTTTCTGGTTGTTTTCAACTATTATTAGGTATATTCTGAGAGGTCAGCCAGATGCAGGGTTTGCTCTTTTTGAGTCTGAATCATTAAAGTGGCCTGGTTTTGTTGAGTTTGATGATGTCAATGGAAAGGTGCTGACTTATTCTGCGCAAGACAGGTTATTTTCTGGTCTTCACAACCTAATTTTTTTTACTATAAGTTTCTTCCTCTGAGCCCGATAGCTGTTTCTGCAGTGTGTACAAGGTTTTTGATCTGAAAAACTACACAATGCTATATTCGATATCAGATAAAAATGTTCAGGAAATTAAAATCAGGTAACTTTTCCCCATTTTTCTTTGACCCTATTGTTGTTTCTTGTTTGCAAAGAGTGAGCAATTCTAACTGTTCTGTCCACTAGATTGGATTGAAAGACTTTGTGACTTTTCTAACTGTTCTGCCTATTTGTTTCCCTGCATCAGTCCAGGGATAATGTTACTGATCTTCAAGAGAGCTGCCAGTCATGTTCCTCTGAAGATTCTGTCGATAGAAGATGGCACAGTTCTCAAGTCCTTCAATCATTTGCTTCACCGAAACAAGAAAGTTGATTTCATTGAACAATTCAATGAGAAACTTCTTGTTAAGCAAGAGAATGAGAACCTCCAAATTCTTGACGTGAGTTGATTTTGTCTGATTCAATCGATCTTTTAGCTTTTGTTTTACATGCTTATTTATTTTTAGTAAAGATTGGTTTCTGATTTGCAAATTCAGGTCAGAAATGCTGAGCTAATGGAAGTTAGTAGAGCTGAGTTCATGACACCGTCTGCATTCATATTTCTGTATGAGAACCAGTTGTTTCTGACATTCAGGAATCGAAATGTTTCTGTGTGGAATTTTCGCGGAGAGCTCGTGACTTCCTTTGAGGACCATCTTCTATGGCATCCAGACTGTAACACAAATAATATCTACATAACAAGTGATCAAGATCTGATCATCTCGTACTGCAAAGCAGATACCGAAGATCAGTGGATAGAAGGAAATGGTAAGAAGAATATGCCCGTCAAGAAAATAATAACCTTATAACCTAACAAATCTCCTTGATGCTGATTGATTAATGGTGTTTTATGCGATGATGCAGCTGGATCGATCAATATTAGCAATATATTGACTGGGAAATGCTTAGCTAAAATAACACCAAGCAGTGGACCTCCAAAAGAAGATGAGAGCAGCAGCAGTAGTTGTTTGGGAAAGAACTCAAAGCAAAGAAGAAATGCGGTAGCTGAAGCTTTGGAAGACATAACCGCTCTTTTCTATGACGAAGAACGCAATGAGATATACACAGGAAACAGACACGGCCTTGTTCATGTGTGGTCCAATTGATTTCACATCACATCATCATCGTTAGCTACTACTACTACGACTTCTGTATTATTTGGTTTCCTTCAATTGTGTGTAGCGATAAATCTTTTTAACTTAGTGTCTTTGAGCAGCCATCTGTGTTGTAAACCGTTTGTGGGCAAGTGTGTGCGTCAGAATGCCAATTGTGTACACTAATACCATTGTACGTAACATTTGGGTTTTGACATTCTATGAAAGACCCTTTATTTCCACCTGTATTATCTCACTTTAATTCTCAAAGTTGACATGTTCAGACAGTTTGTATGATTACACATAAACAAGCAATCTTTAGAATATCATGAATATCATCTCATTACTGAAACACCATCGTGTTTTACATTCATTTGAGGAAACAAGCTTAATCAGTTTCTTCTGAAAGACTACAAATCTTTAATCCAAGACATGAGACACTAATATGTCGGAAACAAACATAAACCAAATGCTTAAATTCACCAAGACGATGACAAGAGACTCAGCAATCAACTTGTGTGTTTTCGCTTCAGAACTGAGACTTGTCAAGGCTGTCAAAATAAGGGTGATCAAGTGCTGTTTTTGCTGAAATTCTCTCGGCTGGATTGTACTTGAGCAGTTTCTGCATTTGTTCAAACATAAGCTCAATCAGAAAGATTTAACCAAGCAATTCAGCTTAGAAAATAAAAAGAGAGAAGCAGAAGCAAGAGGTAACAATATTAGAGCAACTTTTGCAACAATGCTATGGTCATCAGGGAGTTATTTACCGTGAGAAGATCAATTCCTTCAGGTGAAAGAGAAGGAACAGCAAGAGCTAAGTCTTGCGGCTCCCACTTTGGGTAAACATGCCAGTCACGCAGAGTGGAC